ATGCTGCCACCACCATGCTTCACCATAATGTGACTTAATGTGTTATGAGATATTTATAGACTGAATACGTAATGGCAAAGTAATGGTAAAGCTAATATTGTTCTTTCTGGGGAGAAGGAATCTAGTTAAGGCTTGTTTTTCTACTGTAGCATAGGGAAGATAAGTGTCTTGTCTGTACGATAAAGCTGTGCATTTTAAGACAATGATGCTGTGTAGCCCTGCATGGACTGTGTTGACTGGAGTCACAGCCTTGTGTTATCTTTCCAAACACAACGCGGACACTCTGCTAAGTGTATTTGAATTGGCTTAGAGCCTCCTTCCCTAAGAAAACACACCACTGTGTGTGTGCGTGTGCGTGTGTGTGTGACTGACTGACGTGTCGGTGAGAGTCGGGGTGTGGTGAAGTCTGATCACTTACTCTGCTCAGCCTGTGGAAATGGACCCGTCAGCCTGTCCGGCCCACTACAGATCTGGGTGATACAGGCTTCCATTGTATGTATGTATGTATGTATGTATGTATGTATGTGTGTATGTATGTGTGTGTGTGTGTGTGTGAGTTGTACTTGAACTGCTCACTCCAGTAACAGATCTTAACACTTAGCAGATACCATCTTTAGGGTGAGTGTGAGTGATTTAATACTAACAATTAAGCCAGGCATGTCAACGGGCAGCCTAAACCCCTGCTGTGGCCGGAGAGTGGACCCTCTCTCATATCTCCACCAGACAGAAGGAGAGGGTCTAACACACACACATGTACACACACACACACACACACACACACACACACACACACACACACACACACACAAGGAGAGGGGCCTCTTGCCCCGGCAACGCCTCTTATCAACAACTGCTTACTCTCAGACAGTACTGGCTGCAGTATGCCGTGCATCCACAGAGATAGAAGGAATATTGACTGAACCACAACTAGATGGACCTATCATGCTTAGCAGCTAGAGACCACTGTGACACTACTTTACTCTAAGCTAACATGGTTACATCAAGATCACATCAAGTCCAACTGACTTCTAAAATAAGAGCGATCGGTGAGAGGGCAGCACAAAATGGTGTGGAGAGGAGGAGAGGAGGGAAGAGGAGGGGTGGTGGAGAGAGTTTGGGCCCAGCCTTTTGGAGAAAGAAAGCCATGAAAACGATTCATTTTACAAGAACCAAGGATCTCACTTCTTACATGGCCAGCTCTGCTCCCATAAAGCCTATAGACATCCATATTAAAAGCTACTCCCGACGTGTTCCACCTCCTCGTCCAGCTACAGGCTGGCTCTACCAACCCTCTGGAAGTGTTTGAAACAAAGTGGGCTTTTCTGATTCAACCTCATTAACTAGTTAGAATAAACAAAACAATGTGTTTTTAATGGATGGCGAGTAACTCCCCCTCCACCGTCCTCTACCTCCTCTGGCCCCCACACCCCCACACCAACCCAGAGCCACTGGTGAACGACACACACACACACAGACACACTCACATGGACCCACGCACACACACACACACATGGGGCGACTGGCCGGTGGGTTTCCCATGGCTGCAGCCTGCAGTGTCAGTATGATGGATGGGCAGGGGTGGCGGGGGCTGCCCTCACCCCTCTCCTCTCCCCTCTCCTCTCCTCTCCTCTCCCCTCTCCTCAACCTCGCTCCTCTCCTCTCCTCTCCTCTCCTCTCCCTCCTCTCCTCTCCTCTCCTCTCCTCCCTCTCCTCTCCTCCCCGTCTCCTCTCCTCTCCTCTCCTCTCCTCTCCTCGCCTCTCCTCTCCTCTCCTCTCCTCTCCCTCTTCCTCTCCTCTCCTCTCTCCTCCTCCCCTCCCTCTCCCCTCTTCTCACCCCTCTCCTCTCCCCTCTCCTCCGGGACGTCCCTGGGACTGACAGGAACATTGTGGCGCCCATGCAGCGCTGCCCCGCCCACTGGCACCGCGACAGAGACCCCAGAATACGCCCGCCTCGCCAGCTGCACACACACACACACACACACACACACACAAACACACACACACACACAGTATCCCACATTAAACCTCTATTCTGCTTTCTTGAAACCACCCTGGTCTCATGTAATATGGTACATACGTCTGATATACATTCTTATTCATACACACACTCACACATGTCCTCAGTCAAACCAAGGAAACATCGTGGTACACACAAACATACACAGGCACACGGGCAGTAGTGGTGCTATGCTTTTGCTATGGCACTGGTCCTGGTATTTTGTGCTAGTGGGCTTGGTCGTTTTTTGGGGTTGTTAGGTTGGTGTGCTGTTGCCGTTTGTTGGGCTAACCATTAGCAGAACCTCGTTTTCCGTCTTTCTCACATTTGCTCTGATAGTCGAGTGTTAAGCAAGACATGGAAGTAGGGCAACGTGAGACTAGGGTTCCCAAATGACACCCTATAACCTATAAAGTGCACTACTTTTGACCAGAGCCAAATGGGCGCTGGTCAAAAGTAGTGCACTATAAAGGAAATAGGGTGCCATTTGGGAGGAAACTTAGGTTAGCGTGCGGAGCAGTAGCCTGTACCTGAACCCCCTGCTGCCCCTCAGTGGGGGAGACATTAGCTTAGTGATGAATAAACACCACTGGGCCTCCGCTGCCCACAACAGACACTCTGAGTGCTCACTCACCACACACACACACACACACCCATAGTCTAAGAACGCCTTCAAAATAAAACTCTCCCAGCCAGCGTAAAACAATCCAATAACCCAGCAAGCACTTATCAAAGTAAAACAATGCCCTAGCTCCTATCGTGTGGTAAAACCAAGACGCCTGATTTTTATGTACTTAGTTTTCTTCTAACATCTAACAATAGTTGAAATGTGTTCTCTCCTTTTCAACTTGCATTTGTTTTAAGGTCGTAGAGGTAGGTAGTATGTGTGTGGTCATGATGAAACGTTTATGAAACTGCTGCTAAAGCACTTTCCTCCAAGCGATATGACACTGTTTAGGCTGAGCCCAGTGGTTCCCAGGAGCAGCAGTGTTTAGCACTGGGTCAAAGTTCATTTGAATAGAAAGAGAGGATACCAGAACAGCCAGACAGATAGAGTGTGAGGGTGTGACCGACTGTGACCCCAACCACCCTGGACAACCTGTTAGTAAACAGGATGTCATTAACACTGGGAACACACACACACACACAATTACTTTGTGTGTGTGTGTGTGTGTGTGTGTATGTGTGTGTGTGTGTGTGTGTGTGTGTGTGTGTGTGTGTGTGTGTGTGTGTGTGTGTGTGTGTGTGTGTGTGTGTGTGTGTGTGTGTGTGCGGGCATTCATGTGCGGGTGCGTAAATGTGTGTATGTACTGGATGTGTGTGTGTGTCTGTGTGTGTGAGAGAGAATGAAAGAGAGAGGAAGAGAGGGAGAGAGAGAAGGAGAGATGGGGACAGAGAAAGCATTGCATGTTGCAATTCAGTATGGGTTTGAGAGAATAAAAAAAATAAAAAAAGCTCTATAAACAGTCAAACTTGCTCGCACGACATTGGCACCCGCTCAAACATGTGGCCTTACAGGTTAACGTTGTCAGTTGTTGTCACGGACAACGCTCTTCACCCATTTTGTGAGTTTGTAGCATGCCGTAGCGTGGTTTTCCAATACAGTACAGTCTCTGAAGCCAGAGCCCTAAGTGCACTGAGCTGTCAGCTCTTATTGTGGTGTCTGGCCCTTCCCCTAATTAGTGTCCTCTGTGCTTTGGGATCAGGAAGTGGTCCTTGCCTGGATTAATCTGTCAGTGTGGCCAGACCATCCTTGCCCCCCTCCTCCTTACTCCTCCTCTCCCCCCTCCTCTGCACCTCCGCGCCCCAGCGACTGTTTCCTTAGATAAACCCTGACAGAGTTTGAGCCCGGGGCCCACCGCCTACAGCCGGCCACTCTTTGGCTGGCTGGGGCCATCGCCATGGAGGATCGCCACGGTGACAGGTGTTGATTGAGCATGAGAGGGAGGAAGTGGAAGAGAACGCCACTTCCTGGCAGACTGTTTTATCAGCCAGGGAGCAGAGAGGTCAGAGGGGGTGGGGGGGTCAGGGTGGAGTGGGTCAGACAGTTATCACACACCACTGGGTCTGTACAGTGAGGGGCGTGGGGGGTGTAGGTGGGGGGTTTCTGGAATAGGGCTGCTGACCCATGGAACTGTCTCCTGCCTATAAACACTGAGTTGAGTTATAGACATGTTTGGTGACTATCAAGAGCAAAAAGTGATGTTTTTTCTTCTTATTCTCTGCTGTTGCTGGTAGTTGAATGTGATATCAGAAGTGGTCCATGGACAGTCTTCACACGTGTAGAGGCACTGAGTTCTCTGGACAGGCACAGATCACTGCACATTCGCAGCTTGTTTTAGACTTTGTGTTCCTCAGCAATAAGTTTAAGTCGGAGAGTTAAGCTTTGGAATGCTTTGGAAATGAGGTGTTAAAGGTGTTTAAAATCTTTTGGCTCATCACAGCATTGAAAAAGAAGTAAGGAATGAAAGGCTGCTGAGACAGGAAGAGAAGAGAAAGTGAGAGAAGGCGAAGGGAGAGAGAGGAAGAATGATCAGTGGGGGTCTAGCCCGCCACTCCGCCTCCCACCCTCCCCTCCTCGCTCCTCCACAGACCAGCGTGGGTCCAATTCCTCCACTTGAGCGCTCAGGGCGGCAGCGGGCTGATTAGACATACACCCCCAACCGCGCTGCGGCGGGACTCTGCAGCGGGACGACTTCAGAACACCGCCACTCCACGCTGGCCCAAATAAAACCTGACTGCTCGTAATGGACAGGTCCGAATCTCCCCTTGGTTATTTGAAGATTCTCCTGCCCGCGCTGCCCCGGGAAAAAATTTTCCCGTTTTGGGGGGGGGCCGTTTTGGGTTTCCT